ACAGAATACAAATCTTAGTCCTGCTTCTGAATTTCAAGATTAATCCAAATCCGGTTCTGGATTTGAACACCACTTTTTCAGCCCATCTGTTATTCTAGCAACAAGCCAGCTTTCTATCACTTTTCTACATCAAAATCTAAGTTTCACCCCAACACAACAAAAACAAATAAATTAAATCATGAGCTGAGAGCAGGATAACTGGGGGTACAGATATACCTTTCAGGTGGGAGTGTACTTTGTGTGGCACTTTCTTTACATAAGGCTGAATGTGGCTTTACACTCTCTTTAAGACAAAAAAGAAATAAGAAGTGGATGGCTTACCTGTGATGCACAAAGCTATGCATACTAACCCATTGGCTCCCCTTCAGCTCAGTTCAGTTGAGCAAGCTAAGTTTGATGAAGTTATCAGAGTAGCTTAATATAAAAGAACACTTGGAAATGCCCTTCCAGTGCCTCAGAACATGGGCTATAAACCAAGACTAAGATGAAAATCACTCAGGATTCGTTCACACTACAGTTTTGGGTTGTATGGTAACTCGAGTTAAAACTTGAAGCAACTGAAAAGCTGTTAACAAATGCAATTGAAAATGCTAACAACTGGCACACAACAAATATTTATCCCAGGCCATCTTCATTTACCTCAGGTTACAAGATAGAGATTTAAACTACTAGCCTATCTCCTGTCTGTTTGACAAATATTTATCCCAGGCCATCTTCATTTACCTGAGGTTACAAGATAGAAATAAATTAACACAAGCTACAACAAAAAGTCTAGAAAAAAAACAAACAGACAGGAGATAGAGATTTAAACTACTAGCCTAAGTAGAATGACAACCATCCACAGAAGATACATAGAGTGCCACGTGGCTTAGTGTGTGTGTGTGGCGGGGGGGAGTGTTAGAGTGAGGACTCTCCATAAGAAATCATATTTGACAGGCACTGGAATTATTAATTGAGTTATGACTAAAAATGAGTTATATTGAGTCTGACACTTCAGACAAGACAGGGAAAACTTAATTAGTATTCAAAAGGAGACTAAGCAGAAAGGAGTAATGGCACACAGCACTCCAAGTGAAGAGAGGAGTTGAAGGCCTTCTGCTAGGCAGTACCTGAAGGGATGTGCAAAGAGGGTTATGTACTGTGACTGAGATCCATGAATGAATGCCTGGGCAGGCTAAATGTTGCGTGGTTACTGAAAAGAATTTGTTTGAGGTTAGGGGGTTGTCTGTAGGCAAGGACTGGCCTTCCCCCCTCCCCAAGGCCTGTCAGACTGAGGGGTCACTACAGTACAATTACATGACGGACACATTTCCACCACCTTATACCGGTAACCTACTGACTGCTACACTTACCTTCATGCCTCTAGCTTCCATCCCAGACATATCCCTTGTAACTTGAACAATCCAATTCACTATTTTTTCCCGTCCCCCCTTCTTTCTCGCCCTTCCCCCCCACCATCCCTTATTTATTCTTGGATCTGGACTTTTAATCCAGTCATCTGAAGAAGTGGGTTGTACCCATGAAAGCTCATACCACCATCTACATGTTTTATTAGTCTTTAAGGTGCTGCTAGACTATTAGTTGTTTAAGATTTTCCATAAAAACACGGAAAAGGTACTAATACAGAATGATCACATTGGTATCAAGGAGGCTCATACCACATCAAAGGCTCATATATCTATTCACCCACCAATGTGATCTATGCCATCAAGTGCCAGAAATGCCCCTCTGCCATGTATATTGGCCAAATTGGACAGTCTCTGCAACAAAGGATTAATGGACACAAATCAGATATTCAAAATGGCAACACACAGAAACCTACTGGGGAACATTTCAACTTGCCTGGGCACTCACTAATGGATCTAAGTGTCTGAATTATTTCAAAGCAATATCAAAAGTCACTCAGAGAGAAACTGCAGAACATGGTTTAATTTACAAGTTTGACACATTGAATAGAGGTTTAAACAAAGACCTAATCTGGATGGGCTGCTACTTTCCACCTACTAATGACATAAAAAGCTAAGTAAGATACTTGGAACCCATTCTATTAGCCTCATTTAGCAAGGACACTAATTTTAAATAAAAAAAAACTTTCTCCATTTTTTCCCTCTTCTCTTTCCC